CGTAGAGTGTGGAACATCTATCCTTACAAACCAGATGAGTTTCTGAGTGACTGCAGGCTGCAGTATTTTGGGGATTCCCACTGTGCTCCCCTGACATCCCGGAGCAGCTTTGTGCCGCGATTCCAGAGCGCGTTCTGCGTGTGGCCGCAGAGAAAACCTGCGCTTTTGAATGTGTGCCTTTGTTTTCCTTTATTTTGCTGCGAGAAGCCAAGGCAGGCGGGATTGGCTCGGGGGGGAACTGCCTTCACTATTGTTTCCCAGGTTATTTTGAGGTACGGTTTCCCCTGGGATTTTTTTCCTCTCTTGGTTTTTTGACCTTTTTGCATCCTATCGTGACTTTCCTGATTAAAAGTGTGGACTCATAATGGGTTTACATGATGTTTCTAAAATTAAGGTAATTTGAAGGCTTTAGGAGGAGGGAACTGGCGATTGTCCCAAGCTTTTCTGTCGCTGTTGCATGGCTGTACAGGGAAAATACGATTTCTTTCCCTGGAGCAGGCATATGCTTGCTGGGCTCCGCAAAAATACTCCGAGTTTTTTCAGAGGCGGAGGGAATCCATTCTGCGTGACTTCGAGGATGAGTTTCAGTGAAATGATGGACCAAGGCAATAATTTCTTTTAGAGCATCCTCAGAAGGGGTGGATGCTGCAGCCAGGGTACTCTGGTGTGTTTGCACAGCACCGCACAGGATTGTCCCTGGGCTTGGGGCACCTGCGGTCCTGGTCCTGCTCCGCCAGCTCCAGCATCCCATCCCCCAGACCCAGCAAAGGTCCAGGTCGTGCATCTCCAAATCTCAATTAGGGGGGATGAGCGTGGGGCTGCAAGTGCCCGTTCAAGCCCTGCAAGTGCATTTAATCCTCATTTTTCCTGAAAGGATGCATCTGATATTTGTGCCAGATGTTGCTGGGTGGTTTATGAAATGCTGGGAAGAGTTCCGCCATGGGAATGGCCACAGCAAATCGACAGAGACGCCAGCCCAGCCCACTGCATTGCTCCCTGCACAGGGAGGGAGCCCGCGGGAGCCGTCCTTGCCGCTCAGCGTGTTTTTCTTCAGCCGTGTGAAGTTTTGCTTCCAGCGACCTCGGTGTTGTAACGCTGTGCTAGTGTCCAGCCAGCAGCATCTCCCTGAAGGTAATTTCTCCTTTTGCATCTGTCTGTGTGGCTGCATCATATTTTGCTCGATGGGTGGCAAACATCTGCTCGTCCTGCTCTGCAAACCCTCTCCCTCGTTGCGGCCACACTGAATAACAAGGAGTCGATGAGTTTAATTTAAGGCACCACAACATGCACCCTTATGGTCAGACCAAAAGCTGCAGAGACCAAGAGCTGCAAGTGAATATATGAAATCATGTCTCAGGGGGTGGTGAATGGAAAAAGCATCGCTCGCTCTTCCCACCGGTCCCCAGCCGGACAGCGTGGTCCTTCACGAGCTGACCCCGCGGCCGAGCATCCCTGACCTCCCGCAGCTGCGGCCGCTGGAACAACAGACCCCTTGAGTCATCGCCGAGGAACTTCACTGTCTGGGATGTTTATGGGGTGGCTGCACCCAGCTGCACCCTGGCCATCCGCCACCCTGCCCTGAGCTCCGCCGAGCGATGCTGAGCAGCTCCCCCCACCCAGGGGTGGACCCCTTGGGACCCCTGGTTGCCGTAGGTTTAATTATAATTAAAAATATGTATAACTAAAGGTGCTACGGAAGGGGCGCTGAGGACAAACTCCTCTCTCTCTCGTTTTGCTCACACTGGTTGCGTCCACGTGGAGGAGCAGTGGGTTGCTTCTTCAGGTTTCACGGGAGTGGGTGTCAAAGCAGCTGGTGTGGACGCGGTGACTGTCACAAGCTGGTTTTGTTGGTTTTTTTCTGAGTAAAATGTGCGTTTCAGTCATTTACCCTCTCTGTCATTTCTCTTTCTGGCTTGCTCTTATTAGCAAGGCAAAGTTTAATGGGTAGATGACTTCTAGCCAGTATTTAGTATTTTTCTGAGTGGGCAGTGATAAGCGTGATGTAAGAATAAAACCTGGGTGAGAACAGAGTGGCGGAGTTGGGGTTGTTCAGCCTGGAGAGGAGGAGGCTCCAGGGAGACCTTTGAGCAGCCTTGCGCTGTATAAAGGGGCTTATGGAATGGTGGAGAGAGACTCTCCACCGTGCCTGTGGTGACAGGACAAGGGATGAGGGTTTTCAGCTGAGAAAGGGGAGATTGAGATGAGATATTAGGCAGAAGTGTTTTCCTGTGCGGGGGGTGAGGCAGTGGCCCAGGTTGCCCAGGGAAGCTGTGGATGCCCCATCCCTGGAGGGGTTCAAGGCCAGGCTGGATGAGGCTTTGGGCAACCTGGGCTGGTGGAGGAAGGACTTGAGAGGTCCCTGCCAATCCAAACTGTTCTGGGATCCTGTGAAGTTTGAGCAATCATCTTTATTTTAAAATAATAAATAAATCCTCAGCGATATTGAATGTCTGTTCTGCCAGCCAAAGCAATAGCTTTGTACACCATGTTCATGGTCCAAAGAGCCTCTTCCAAGGACGAGGGGGGTGTGGAAGATGCTGCAGGTGCCATGGGTGGCACAAGCCGTTGGTGCCTGTGACAATTCCTGTGACAGGGCGCAGGGCAGCACTGTGGCGGTGGCTTCTGGAGATGTCTGCGTGGTGTGCTTGAGGAGCCGTAATTGGGGTTTGTGTTTTGTTTGCCTTTTTTTTTTTTTAATCTAAGGTTTCGCGTGACTATTAATTCCAACCAAAGCACGCACGCTTAGAGCCCCATTCATCGATTTTTGCGAATGGAGAGGTTATTTTGATGAACTGTCCAGGAAAATAAACATATTGTGTCAATCTCTCATCATTCCCCTTCTGAGACTAAACTTCAATGGGTTTGTTCAGACTGTGAAGAGCTTTCAAGTCTCTTAAGATATTTTGATGCTTTGGCTGAAAACACCAAAACCCATCACTGCAAACGAGAAATTGGGGTGTTTGGTCCTTTCCTAATGCGTGTGGTTTTCCAGGTGAAACTCTCCTTTGAATTCTTCCCAGGCTGTCAGCACTTCTGATGTTGTGTGTTTCGGGGTCCCTTTCGGACACGACATCGTTGCAATGACAAAACGTGCGGAATTGCCATAAACGCAGACCTGCCTTTAAATAAATAGCGTCAGCTTGGGAATTTGGGGAAACCCTTTGGGGTTTTTTGGGGAAACCCTTTGGTTTCCCAAATGCCCTTCATGAGCCTGCACGGGGCTTGCTGGAGCAAAGCAAGATGCGAATGTGGAAGCCGGCGGCTGCCCGTTGGGGAGCAAGAGTGGGATGCTCTCAGGCTGGGAGGAGTTGCGTGCGTGGGAAATAACCTGGGAACCTGGCAAAGGCAGAGGGACCTTTGGTGATTATCACTTTTGATAGGGACTTTTATGGCCTGTAGCTTAAGGAGCCGCTCTTTTAACCATTGATTCCCAGGAGGAGTTTATTCTTCTCTGCTCTCTCCAAGATGCTTTTGGTGCCCCAGGTTTTGTTCTCAGGGCAATCACACTTTATAGCCCTTGGGGCTGCTTTTTTGAAGCTTTTTTGTTCTTGTCTCTGTGTTTGGCTTGTGAGTGTATTTATGGCTTAAATAACTGGGGTTGGGTTTTTTTCAGCGTAAAGAAAAGCCCACCCTGGTCAGGGCAGCCCGGGTTGGCGGCAGGTGCGGTAACAGGCAGAACAAGGTGTTTGACCCGTAATTAATCTCCCCTCACATCCCTTCTTTTAGGAAGTGGAAATAGCCTGGGGAAAATGCCGTGGGTGCTGAGCCGCCAAGCCCTGGGGTAGCTGGGAGGACTGGTGAGGTTTCTAAACCAAAATTCCAGTTTCTGGGTCAGGATGTTGATTTAATAACTGTCAAAAGAGGTTTTAATGCAGCAAGTATTTTTTTTCATGAATAAGAGGTCGCTGCATAAAATTTTTTTGCCTCTTGGCAAAAATCGTGTTATAAAGATGTAGTTGCTCTAGGTTTAAAGTGTTAATTTATGTGGTATGCTGACTGGGGTTTAAAGGTCCCCGAAGACCTTTGAATCTCAGCAGCTAATGAGGCTTGCAGAAGAGAGCTCGAGAGAGGAAAAACTTACTGGCAGTGAGTAATGCTGGTGAAAGAGCTCCGGGATTGAGCAAGTTCTGCAGAGGATAATTAGAAATTATTGCGTCGGTGTTTGAGGTGTTTGATTATAGATCCCTCAGCTATAGATCACCCAGCTGTAGATCCCCCCTGATGCCTCCTGCATCCCATCCCTGCAGCCCCCCAGACCCCAGGGGGATGCTTCTCCCTGATGAAACCCAAAAACTGAGTTTTCCCAAATCTCCGATGGGCTAAGACATCATTGCCAAAGATGCTTGAACTTGTCCTTCTTCTTGCAGCTGGCCTTGACGAACTTCTTTCGCCCTGAAGAAAACCTGCACATTGGAGAAGAAGGGAGACGCGTCCGTCGAAATAAAAGGAGTAAAGGCAGCGAGGGGCCAGACGGTGAGTCCCGCGTTGTTCCTCGCTGCTGCGCCTCTCGGCTTTGCGCAGACAAGCAGAAGACTGACTTTTTTTTTTTTTTTCAGATCGTGAATATACAGAATTATGTATGTGGGGGAAAAAAAAAAAATTGGCATCTGTGGTTTATAATAGTTTCTGTCTGATTTTGATTGCCTTCCAGATGATGAATTCCAGTAGTTCTGACTTCTGCAACTGTCAGTCTGGTGATTTTGTGCCAATTGCTGCTACTTAGCAGTCTCGTCCTTGGCTCTTCTTCTCTAATAGGGAGGCTCTGTGTGCATTTAAGGCTCTAATTTGTTCTTACATACCTGTTATTTGTTGTTCTGTACACTTGTCTCTGCTTAAAATCCCCCAGTAGCTATTTGTCATCTAACAAACAGCTTGGATATCTGCGTCACAGAATGGTAACTGGGTTCTAATGGGGTTTCGCGGTGCCGTGGAGGGTTTCGGATGGGTTCAGAGGATGCGTGAAGGGCAGAGTTGCACAGAGCTTGTATTTAAAGAGCAGAAAGGTACCAAAAAATCAGAATTATACATCTGTGATTTGATAAATATAGAAATGAGGATGTGTGATACAAACCCCGGGGCTTCGGGCTTCCTCGGTGTGCAGTGCTGTCTGTCCTGGTCCTTGCCCTTGGCAAGAGAATTGTCCTCTGTGTGTCCTGCTCCGTTCTGCTCAGGTGCCAAAGAGCCTCTCTTGTGTCTGGTCGCTTTTATTTCAGACCCTCTGGTGGGTTTTGGACTCGGTGTCTGACAACATAGACGGTCCCCTTGGTGGGACAAGACTGTGCCATGGCACATGTACGGGGGCTTTGTGCTCAGTACGTGTTGCTGTCTGATAGGGGCTTTTCTTAAAGCATTTTCATCTTTAATCTGGGACGTTCTGGGAGGTGGATGCTGTTCCTGATGGACGTGTGGAGGATGCGGCGATGGGACAGGAGCTGCGCTGCGAGGGTTGGTTATGGGGGTGGGAGGGTCGGTGTGCTGGGGTTTGCACCAAAACCGCTCTCAACACTTGTTGAGGGCTTCAGTAATGGACACCAAAATAATGAAATCTGACTGCACCTTCAGTCCCTTCCCCCAGCTTGCATCCTGCCTGATCTCAGTATGGAATTTTATTTCCATTGCTGTCTTTTCCTGATTGTCCATCCACGATACACAGAGAGGAGAAGGGGGCTGGATGCCAGGGAAATTAGGGAATAACAAAGCAGTGGTGGGTGCGTGGCGTGGTGCCTGCTCAGCCCAGGTCCTGACCGCGGTACAGACCTCTTGGCTATTGTTAGTTTTCCTCTCCGGCTTCCCAGCTCCGTGAGTTTCCCATCTCCCCTGAAGCCGTCGCAATTTCACAGTGGAGAAGCGTTTTCCTGTGGCTCTGCTCCAAGAGCGAGCTTGGTGAAACTCCCCGGATTCCTCCTCCCGGCACGCTGACAAGGATGATGCATTTGGTGCAGGCTCCCGGAGCGGTTCCAGCTCAGTGTGGTCCGTCATCTCCAGCGCTGGTGTCGCGCTGATGCTCAGATGGCTCGGGCAGCATCCAAGTCCTTTTGCACCGACTCCCTGAAATCCATCCCGGCGTCTTCACCGGTCCCTTGTATTCGCAGCGAGTTTCCTGCGTAGGCGAGCGGTGTCGATGGAGCGCTGCTGGCAGATGTTGGGAGGAGCTCACCCAGTCCCTTCGCTGCCTTTCCCCTGCCAGATGTGCGGACAACCGCTGCGCTGGGCGAAATCACTGAAAGTCGGTGGCCTAACAAGGGCTTTTCCTCAACATCCTTGTGCCCAGGTGAAACCATGTCACACTTTTATAACTTCTCCCCTTTCCCAGATATCCTTTAGGTTCCCTGAACACATCGGAGTTGAGTCACTCCATCAGTGTATCAGCTTCCACCCATTCTATCTGTCTTTTGGTAAATTAGGGGGTTTGACCCCATAGGGTGATGGGGACATTGCCAGAGTGACGGGTCGTTTCCCTAGTGACATTAGCAGCACGGGTTATGTTGGCAGGCGGTTACGTGGTGTTTGGCCGTCTCCGCTGCGTTGGGCGGAGCGGTGTTTAGCAAGTGTTCAGCTGTCACGGTGGGGATTGACCTTGTAACGAGCGTGAAAATCGGTGAGTGAACAGAATAACTTGTGGAGTTTATTTTACACCAACGGGAAGGAATCTTCCTTTTTAGAGAAGGGTAATGAATCATAAAAAAAAAAAATCATGTCACAGTATTGATAACAGCGTTTTCTTCCTGAGTTTTGCAAAGGGAAAGTTGATCAAATCTTTGATCTCCGAAGAGCCTCCAGAAGATAAAAGTGGCTGAACCATAAATCCCCAGAAGGAAGGAGATGTGCTTTCCACTTGAGGCCTCGCTAATATTTGTCTGGAATTAATTTTATGAACTTTCAAGTCCTTTCACACATGCAGGGAAAGACCAGAGTGCTCTGAGGGTGGAAGCGTGGCTGGAGGGCGACTGCTCCATCCCCTCCACGGCTCCTGCGCATCTTGGTACCGCCGACGGGATGGCTCCCAGCATTTGTAAATGTCAAAGAGAATACAGCTCCTTTCCTAAAAGGTTTTTTTTTTTCTTTTAGGAAAATTTGCTTTATAAATGTCAAAGAGAACACAGCTCCTTTCCTAAAAGGCTTTTTTTTTTCTTTTAGGAAAATTTGCTTTCAAGTCTTTTGCTGTGCAAAAAGTGGTTTTGGGTCAGGTCAGAGCAGGTCCTGCGGGGTCAGAGGCGGGTGATGGCCACAGCCCAGCACCGCGGGGATGGGACGAGGGACAGCACGGGCAGTGAAGCTGCATCGGTGCCTCTTTGTTTCCTGCTGAAAAAAAATTGTGTGCAATAGCGCAAAGCTATGGGCTGGATCCTCTCGCTTCCAAACACGACTCCGGTATTTCAAGGGCTCCTTTGAGGACTCGGGCTTTGGTCCTCCTGCCCGCTTGTCATGTTTTACGATCGTGTTTGCTTAATTTCTGTTCGTGTCCCTCCACGCTCAGCGCCCTGGAACCAATTAAAGAAGCCGAGGTCGCGCCCCGGGACGAGGTGCCTGTCCGGCTCCTGGCCGTGCCTGGCTCGGGTCACCCCCGCGGGCACTGGGCTGGCTGGGAGGATGATGTCCCTGTCCTGAGGAGCGCAGCTCGTCTTGCAAGCCAGCTGCCTGGCCGTGCCACCAAAACCAACATTTGCACAGCTTTAAAAATTACCACTATTTTTTTCTCCTACTTCTCCAAGACCAGGATTATCCCCTTTGCAGCTGCATTTCAGGGTGTTCTTTCTACTCTGTCTTACCAGCTCCACCGGCCACTTAAGTTGCTTTAGTTCCCTAAAACTCGACCCTCTCCAAGGTCTCTTTTTTATTTTTCGTTTTCCTCTCCTTCCTTTTTTTCTTGGTGTATTTATGCTGCTGTGGAACCGCTGTTGCTCCCAGATTAACAAATCATTCTGGAGCTGGTAATTAGCAACAGTTGTGCTAAAAGGAACCATCAAGAATGTTAAATTAGTCCACTTTTAAATAAACTGTGTATGAAATGTTAGATCTCTATTCCCAGAGCACCAGTAAAAACGCTGCTGGCTCTTTGCTAACAAAGCCAAAATATGGGAGTAGCATGGTTGTAACTACAGAGACAATTCCGTGCTCTTGAGGTTATAAATAATGACAGAGCGTTTATAAAGCAGATGTCAATAGGACTGTTTAAAAAAAAATTGTTTTTTAAAAAAAAACAAAACCCAACTAGTTTCTTTTTCTCCTACTTTCATCTCTGTTCCCAGTTAGATCCCTGCCGTGCCGCTTTCCTGGTTTGTTTGTTTTTTTCCTTTTTGGTTTGGGGTTGGGTTAGTTTTGTTTTGTTTTGGTTTTTTTCCCCTTCCTAGATTTTTTCATACTGAGCTTGGTGAGAAACATCAGTGATTGTTACCCACCCTTTGATTGGGAGCATGGCAGCTGGGGAGAGGCTGAGCAGATGGCTGGCCTGAAGCTGACAACAATTTGGTTCCTACTACTTTGGCAGTGCTTGCTGCCGAGGAAAGTCCGTGATGAGAACTCGTGGGTTTCAGCGCTGCAAACGCCTTTTGTTGAAATGAAGATTAAATTCTGGGAGAGCAGAGGCTTGTCTCCATCCTTGCTTCACCTGGAGCTTTGCAAGTGATGCTCCAGCTACGTGGGTCCAGCCTTTCACCCCCTTGTATTCGCTCAGTGGAGTTTAGGATGGGTTTAGGATGGGTTTAGGGTGGGGTTTAGGATGGGGTTTAGGACAGGTTAGGATGGGTTTAGGGTGGGTTTTAGGACGGGTTTAGGATGGGTTTTAGGACAGGTTTAGGACAGGTTAGGATGGGTTTAGGACAGGTTTAGGATGGGTTTTAGGACAGGTTTAGGTCGGGGTTTAGGACGGGTTTTAGTATGGGTTTAGCAGGTAGCTGGTGCCAGACCTGGCAGGGGGGCTCCCTCCGTCCCCCTGGTCCTGCAAGGTGCTGCGTCTCAGCTGTCCTCCTCATCCCGACTGGGCAGCACTGACAATGCAATAGGGTTTTTATTCTTTTTTTTTTATTATTTTTTAATATCCAGATCACAATAGCGACTTTTCCTGCCGGCTTCCTCCCCTTTGGAAAGGGCAGGTTCGTCCCTCTGCCTCCAGAACAATCAGTGCCTTTGTGTCGGCCCCGTGCAATTCCCCAAAGACCCGGCATTCCCAGAAACACAGCTGGATGGAGGGCGATAGAGCCTCATTGTGCTCCGCAGCCATGGTGATGAGCTCGCAGTAAATACAGAACATTTCCTGGCTCCCGGAGTCCCGGCAGAACCGCTCACCCCCGAGTGCCTGCACTTGCTGATTGCCCCCGGGATTTCTCTGTGCTTTGCCCCAGAACAGGAGAAGGGGGGAGTTAAGGTGATGTTTGAATCTTCCTGGACAATCTCCATCCCTTTCCTCTGACTTGTTATTCCTATGGTAAAATCACAGTGCATTTACAGATCTGTGTGCTTAGGACAGTAAGGCA